TTAGTTTATTTAGTAGTACTAGTTAGTCGTATTATATATATATATATATATATATATATATATATATCCTCTTTACTTGATTCAATGCACCTCCTGGTGGATTATTTGAGAGAAATATAACTTGGGGGTAATGCTATATGGTTCAAGAATCTAGTGGAAACGAGTGCCACTTGTTTTTGAAAACTTTTGGTTAGTTTACAAGTGTATTCTTGGTGATTTATTACTTTCTCTTTTGATTGACTTTTGATTGTCAAATGTAGTTTCTTGGATAACTCATAAAGAAGACTCTAATTCATAGTTTAAGGGATGCTTCATTATATTATTCCTTTGATCGAGAGTAGCCATGTTCGTCTTTCTTATTAGTCATCGATAAATCACACCCGTCCACTCCTAGATTTGAACATGAATTGTAATATGGCGCTGCCACTAGTACAACCCACGAGGCTATAACTCCATTTCATCAATTTTTTCTCCATCTTTAACTGTAATTTTTGTGTCCCTCCTTGCAAGGTGCATGTGTACATTACTGAGTAGCTCTTTCTTCCTCTTCTAGAGTTGTTTTTTTTCTGTGAAATGCATCTTACTTTTTGGATTGGGTCTCATTGGCCAAAGAGACTGAGTCTCTACATCCATTATTTCGTTCAGTACATGTTACCTTGTTGTTTTCCCTCTATAATGTGATCTACAATGAACCGAACTGAGACCTTATAGAAATGGGGCCGCGGATGTAGCCTCAATATCTAAGTATAAATGTTCTTGGCATTGTCTTCATAGTAACTCTACTAATGCTTGATCATGTAAGAATAAATGTTAAATAGGCAAGTGCCAACAAATTGTAGATAGAAGTAATGGAACTTCGTTTGTTTTTGGTTCAAGATTCACAATAGTTAAAACTTTATTTTTTCGCTAAGTTTCTTTAGTAGCTCCTCTTATATACCTTAACTCAGTGGCACTATACAAATGTGTTGTCACTTGAGATTGTGATTGTCATGTGTTTTACTCATTACATAGTGTTAACAACATGAAGTTCAAGTATATCAAACTCACTATATTAGTTTAAATCTTGCTATAGATTATGAACAACACAAAGTTGGATTGAATTTGTGTTAAGAATGTAGGTATTCCTCAAAAATCACATTTGCTAGGAGTAGACCAAACTATAATGCTCTTTATAAGACCTAGAGGCGCCATCATGCATAATTTAGCTTTTGTGGCGTGTCTTTCTGGGCTTCAATGGGCTCGTTCCTATCAATTTGTAACCTTCCCTGAAACACTAGACCCGTTTTCTTGCTTATTGTTTAAGTAATATTTCGTTTTTTTTATGTTTTGTTTTCAACAGTCTAGTTTGGTACTATGTGGGTGTTGGAGGGTAGTTCTAGCTTTTCATATACAAATTGTCAGTTTCCATCACCTTTTAGAGATTTTCCACTTACACAAACATTAATGTTCAAAGATTTCATATTTAGGGTGAATATCTCAATTAGCCATTTAGTTATGCTAACCTCGACTACTGTTAGTTTGAAAATATAATAAGAATTAGATCATTGATTTAGCTTTGATAATGATAAGAAAGTAGTGAGTAAATAAATACTCATAGGAATTGGTTTCTCCTCTTGTACATATATCCAAAACTTTTAAAGTCAAAAAATATTGAGAGGCTGCAAAGTTGATTAGAGTTGTTATTGCAAAGTTAGAAAGTAGAGCATTTGAGTTTTAGATTTACGTTTTAAGTAGTAAATTTACCATGTATATGCATTGACATTAAAATGAAAGAGAAAATTGTGTACTGGAAAATTAAACTGAAGTCTATATCATATAATGTGAACATATAGTTAGAAAGAAACAAAAGATATATATGTATATATATATATATATATATGTCATAACAAACCTTGTGTTTTTATTTTAGCCAGACACACCATTTTATTATATAGAAGCTTGAGTAAGGTTACTAAAACTGTGATTAGCTCAGTACAATAACACATATTGATGCTAAAACTAAAATTGACATTATATATAGTTTCTATGTATATATATAGAAAATTTATTTCTCTATAGAAGTCTCAAGGATATTTGTTTTGTAGTTTTGAAATAGTTTATATCTAATTTCCTTTTTGTTTCTTTCTTGATCTCTCTCCAGCCTGGCCAAGACCCTTAGTCGTTATGAAATACAAAATGCTGATGACCATACAACATTGGTAAGTTTTTCTCAAAACCTTGCATATGATCTGGTCCTCACAGGCATAGGTACAGTAACTGAGATGGTTGTTATGTGGATACTTTATGTAGTACCTTATCATTGTAGAGAAAGATTAGCGTATAGAGGTACTTGCACTAGACATTTTACAAGGTTGTTCTCTAGGCTTAGAATCTTATCTTGTCATCCATATATACACTCACTGGTCACTGCTCTCAAATCAGTCCAAAGCACCATGCATGCACTCATTCTCTCAAATCTGTCGAAACATATATAATTGAGATGAGAATTTGAAGCTTAGCTCGTGTCGTTGATTGAGATGGTTTTTAAGTGGATACTTTGTGTAGTGTCTTAACATTGTGGGGGAGAGATCGCCACAGAGGTCCTTCGTTCTTCACTGCCGGTGATGCATCAAAAACTTGTCGTATACCAAATTCATTTCTCGAGTGTTAGCAGAAGCATTGTGTCTCTTGGAAACACAAGAATTTTACAATGTTTCTTTCATGGCAGGATCTTGCAGAAAAAACTCAGGATCATATTTCAAACAAGGAGTTACTAGAAATAATTCAATGGTTAGCACTAAGACCCCTTTTCTCCATCATCTTCCTCTAGTAAAAAAAAGTTTCCCTTTTCTTTTATTTTGTTAATCTATGAATATATATGCAGCAAGCTTGAAGAAGTGAAAAGTGATAATGTAAGTGTAGAATCTCTAATTTCCATAGAAGAGCAGCTCAAGAAAGCTCTGTCTGTAACCAGAGCTAGGAAGGTATATTATGCTGCTACTATAAGTGATTGCTTTTGTCTACTTCGTTTTCCCAAAACAGTATTTGGATCATGTTTACCAATTGACACAATCCTCGATGTCTTGTTGCAGACAGAGCTAATAATGGAACATGTGAAGACCCTTCAGGATAAGGTAAGTGCTGTAGGTTTTAATCGCTGTCCGCCCCATTGTAGGCTATGCTGATTCTTGAATCCTTTTAACCTCGAGAGTATGCAGAACACTAAACCAAGTTTAGCTCTCTAGATATATGAATTTGTTATTGATTTATTTGTGTGGTTTCATTAAAGTAAAACTCTAATGAAAAGTTAGTAAAAAAGATGTCGTGAAAATTTTGATCAAATTCTCCCTCGGTGAACTCACCAAACTGCGATGAGGATGTTTTTTAGAATTCGTTAGGTACTAATGACCTAATGATCTTGTCCTGACAGGAGAAGTTGCTGGAAGAAGAAAACCAGGTTCTCGCTAGACAGGTAACAAAGACACAACCTCTTTATGTTTCTAGAAGCTAATTAAGTAATCACTTTACACACAATATAAGGATCATTGGATAGAGAGATAAAACATGCACTTGCATGTACTACATACGTATGAAAGTTTGACTTTGATTGATATTTTTATATCTAAAAGAAAACATGCTTCTCGAAATCTAAATCTCTTGTGTTAACAGTTAACAAATGCTTTAGAAAGAACATGTCGAGAAAAGCTTCTTACAGGTTTTAAGTACTAAAACCCATAACTAGATTTTTAAAGTGGCAACAACAAAAGAAAAGCAGGCATGCTCTTAAAGTTTATACTGTATTTCTTAATATACATACTACATATATGAATATACATAGATTTTGTAGTGGAGATATTAAGCATCTGTTAAAAAGAAATGTATGGAAACTTCTTACAGATGAGGGAGATGAAGAAAGTTCTTGGAACAGAGGATGAACGAGCAATGTCGCCGGAAAA